AGAGAGACAGAGATTGTGTGTGTGTGTGTGTGTGAGTGTGTGTGTGTGTGTGTGTGTGAGAGAGAGAGATTGATTGATTGATTGATTGATTGATTGATTGATTGAGATTCTTAGTCTGGACCTGGCTAGTATATAGCTGTAGGACCTCCACTAACCTACAAGAAGGGTGGGTCACTGGTAGTCTTTATAGGCCTCCCTTTTGCTACTGAAGCATGGTCTGATACCTCTGACCACAATGTAGCAAGACCACCCCACTAAAAGTGGGACAGCTGCTTGGCCACCAGGGACCAACACTCAGGAGTGTCCAGGACGAGGCATCTGGCCAAGGAAACATTGGCTCACACTCAGAACTGAGTCTTATTTTCCGGAGCTCTTGCTTTGAAACCCAGAAGTGTCATTCTCTTTGGACAGCTACTTTCCAATCTTCTGCTCTTCTTTGTGTAAGGAGGGAAGTTGTTTTCCTTTCAAGTAGTCAGTGCCTGGGGGATGCGCAGTGTTTTGTTTTAAGCAGAAGTTAGGCAGTAATTTCCCATGAGTGAGGGGGCTTGAGGGATTGGACTTTTCAGTCTTGACCTGAATCCATAAGTTATGTGACTGCTGTATACGGAGTGACTTTTAGCATGGATGGTGCTGAGGTCATTGTCACTGTGGTTTAGTAGGTGGTCATTCAGGAGGAAGACCACAGTAGGGTGATGTCACTGGTGTGGCCTCGGTTGTCCTGGTTGTCCTCCGTTGCAGCTGCAGCCTGCTTGGCTGACGCACCCCAGACTGAATGTTCCTCATCACTGTGCACCCTTGTTGGATGCAATGCTGTTTTTCTCTCGGGGGTGTTCCTCCCGCGTTCCTTAGTTCTTTTATAAATAACACTGTTACAGTCAAGTGGGTAGCCTTTCGTTGATAGGGTCCGTCTGGGGATCCCCGACTCTGTGCATGACTATAACGTACTGAAGCACTGTTGAACGTTGTATGGGAGGCCTGGCTGTGCCACAATGTCGTGACCAGGGGTTTGCCAGCTGTGGTTCTTGGTAGGTCTGAGCTTCCCCAGAGAGGTCCCCTCTGCATCCTACCCTGCTGTGTGTACAAGTGTGGCTGTCAATCTTCCCACAGTCATGTAGAGGGTAGGGGCTGTCTGTCTCTTGAGCCCCTCAGTGGACACATAACACCGTTAACCCTGCTTTTTCATTTTAACACTCCCGTTGTCAGGGGCTTTGAATCCATCCTTCCTGGAGAAATAAACTCAGCTGCCAGGATTAAGGAGGGAATATTCCTGGCTTGGGAAGAGGCCTTTTTTTCCACCCTGCAGGGTTGCCCTCACCTGGCCCCTGCTCTCTGACTGGACTGACTCTGAAGCTCCATGACCCTTAACTGTTCTGCTTGGTCCTCTGCTCCCTGGGAGTCCTCGTCCCTGTTTCAGAAGTTTGCTTTTCACCTGTGGCTGTCTCCTTTCCCCAGCTCTCCCTGCTTAGTCCCTTTATTGCGACTTTAATGGAGCTGCCGAGGGAGAGGGGGCGAATGAGTCTTCTGCTTTGCTTGGTGGAAAGCGTGCGCGAATTCTCTAACGATCCATCGGGGCAGGAATAAAACCTCTCTGCCTATAAATGTATCTTGTTTTACAGCATCCGCGGTTCAGCTGTTCGTGAAAAGCAATTTAAATAAAAGGGTCATGCTGGAGAACAGTTGTTTATATCCACTTTAATATTTCTGCTGCCAGTAAAAGTTAGGGGAGATCAGAGACACGCGGGATGAATAAAAGCTTTGCTACCTGCACGGATTCATTCCAGTGCTCTGGCCCTGTTGAGAGCTGAAGGCCTAATCTAGAATTCCTAGTGGTGGCTCAATCCATGGGCTGCAGTACTGTGCACACGGCTGTGTGAATTCCTGTTCTGTTTGGAGCTAACCATGGGGTTTACTTGAGCTTCAGTTTCCTGACCTAAAAGTGGTGAACAACGTGCTTTTGTCCCCTGGTTTCTAGGGCGGGAGGTACAGGTTTTATTTACTTCACTGGATTGCTGTTTATGCCTGAGAACCATGTGGCTCTGATTTGTGCCCTCATGGATTTTTGCCCCCATTGTAAGAGCTTTGCTTGTTTGTCTCTTAACTCTGGGACATACTGAGATTGGAATAAAGGGGAGAACAGGAAGGAGGGGTACAGTGATTGAACCTAGATTTGTGCAGATTTGTTCAGAGTCTGCTCTTAACATCCCAACCCCTCCAGGTTGGCAATTTTGAACTTGTAAGAGAGACTTCTAAGGCGGGATTGAACCTAGGGCTGTGTGTGTGGTAGACGTTGCTCTCCTAGTCAACTGTGTCCCTGGAGCTCTCGTTACTGTGTGTTCAGATAGTCTCACTCCGTTAACCAGGCTGTCCAGGAAGTTTCTCTGTCACCTGGATTGGCCTTGAACCTGCTACCCGGCAGAAGTAGTTAACTACTTCTGGAGTAGTTAAGATGTCAGGGCTGCTGCTCCAGGCCCCCCATTCATTGCAGATGGTTTAGACAGGTGGGCGTGGTTGTCTTCTGGGGGCTCTGAGTGACACAAGACTCCTTGTTCCTACCATTCACAATCCCTCTTCCTATCCCTGTGAAATAATCCACATCTTACGAAAGCACCGGAGTGTTGAGAGGGTGGTTTTGAGGGGATGTTGGGTAAGTACTTTGGAACTAGATCCCTGGATTTGCTGCTGTTACACTCCGAGTTCTGGCGAGAAGGGCAGATGTATCCGGAGCAGTGAGTAAGGCTGAGGCTGTAACAGCTCCACATCGTCAGTTACAATAAAGGCTTTGCTGCCTCTGTCCATAAACTGTTAAGAGACAAGATGCCAGGGCTCCGCTTTGCGGTAGGGATCTGGGACAATGGAAAGCATGTGTAGCTCTCAGCTTTCATGTTCTGTTTCTTTCTCCTGTTCTGACCACCTTGCTTTTCCTGTTCTTCCTGGTGAATGCTTTAGCCTTTCTGTTTTCCCTCTTACGTATTTTACGTATCTTAAATGTGGATGTATAGATGCATTAGATAAAATGTGGGTGTTGTTGTTTAGGCCACGGCCCCCACTTAGACTGTGAACGTATTTCCCCATTCCTGTAATGTTTTTTGACATTAAAAGATTCTGACAGTTAAATAAATTATTAAAACAGCCATGTATTTAAATACTTCATTAGTCATTTGTAATCATGTTTTCTAAAGTTTGAAACAGCATCCTTTTCTGAAAAGAGGCTTCTTTAATAGCACGGCCTGTTTAAGATGCAGTCATTACCACCCGCTGGGAATCGGATTATTTTTTTTTTCAAGGCACGTAGATGCTTTTACAGTCCAACCTTTAGATGGCAGCATCTCTCACCGTAAGCCATGCTTTGAACACGTTCTTTCGGACATATTAGATGTAGAGGCAGGAGGATGTTCACGGTCTGCCTAGATCAACCTGCTTACTGTGGGGGCATACGCCTGGTCAGGGTAGTGGCCCAGGCGGGTGAGAGGCCAGGTGTTGTAGCATACCTGGAACACTGTCCACCCTCTCCCCTCCTACCTTTCTCTGTGACCGTGTGCTGACTGCCGAAGGTCAAACAGGTGAGTCGGGACCAAGATGGAAGGTGATACTTTGAAGGTACAAAGAGGCATTATTTTTGCTTCTCAAGTCACTTCAGATCTAGTTCACAGACCAAGCAATTCACCTATCCAAACATGTACAATGCTTTAGTTTTTAGTGTGCTCCCAAGGAGTTATGAAGGATTGTGCAAGTCTAATATTAGAAATTTGTTATTCTCCAAGGAATCCCCTACAAGCCGCCTATCTTCAACCCTGGCAACCATTCAAATCTTTGGTTTCCCCTATACTGGAAGTTACACGTTACGACTGGCTTCTGTCATGTGGCGTGGTATCTTTAAAGTCCATTCTTGTCGCAGCAGGAGTGGCTGCTCCGTCCCTTCTCTTCTCCCATTTCCTGGGTTTTCCGCTTCCTCGGCTGATGGCCCTTTGGGAATAACACCGTGCACTGGTTTCTGTGTGGACGCATTAGGGCGGGTGTGGAGGGCTGCTGGACCACGTGACAGCTCTGCTGACCTCTTCGAGCAGCTGCTGGACGGTTTTCCAGTGGTGACTGCACCTTTGTCCCCAGCAGCGGGGAATGAAGGTTCCATTCAGTCTCTTTAAGACTTCCAAGAGCTTTCTCAGGAGGAAAAACAAAGCAAAACGAACAAAATGGTAAAATTATAAAGAATCCCAGGGGTATGGTGGTACCCGCCTGTGATCGCGGCCCGAGGAAGAGGCAGAAGGATGGATGTCAGTTCTAGGTCAGCCCGATTGACATAGCGAAACCCTGACTCAAAAATAAACTGAAAATTCCAGATTTTCCTGATAAGTTGTGGTTGGGGGAGGGAAATAGAACTCTCTGTCTGTATCTTGTGTCCCCAAATCCGGGCAGACTGTTGGCCACGCCCGCCTGAGGGCAGCTGCTGCAGCTGCCAGGAAAGCAGCCATGCTTGTGCTCCATGCAGTTACCATGCATCGTCAGCCTGATAAGAGGCCTACGTTCGGTGGCTGCTCCGTGTGTTGATACCAGGGGCCAGCTGTTTGTAATTCGCCAACTCTTGACTTAGAGATGCCAAGGAACCAGGCCATCCGTATCCCAGTGAGAGGAAAATGGTTTCCTACCGCTGTCTAGGTCTGAGCATGTCAGAGTCACCTGTGTGACACACAGAACAAACAACCGTGGAACTGCAGCCGAGGGGAACAGCTTTGGTTTCTTTCCATCAGCGTTTGCGGTCTCCAAATGGAGCTCACCCTGGCAGATCAGCCTGGACGTTCTTGTGTCTGCTCTGAACTGACTGTGTGTGTGTGTGTGTGTGTGTGTGTGTGTGTGTGTGTGTGTGTGCGCGCTTGCGTTCCAAGGAGGGAAGGGTCAGCCTTCCTTTAGGCGTGGTTGTGTCCTGGTAAAGACACAAACTGTATGTTCTGAAGCTCTGTTTGCACTTGGAAAAAATTAGCTGTACTCGGTGTTTCCCACTGCAGGTCCCGTCAGGAAGCCCAAGTATGTGGAGAGCCCCAGGGTGCCTGGAGATACAGTTATGGTCCCGTTCAGAGAAGGGTCCAAGCCCTCAGAGCCCGGTGACAACGGTAAGACAATGTTTTCCATGATCTTTCCCTAAAGACTGCATAGTCACATTCTCCATTTCTGAGGGAAACCTGAGTTCCCTTGCAAGAAGGCTTCACTGAACTAAATGTTTCTGGGAGGTTTTTTTCCCTTTGGGCAGTTGACAGAGATTAGTTTGGCTACTGTGAATTCTTGAGATTGTTGACAAGGGACAGGAATAGTTGAGTTGGGTGTATTTGCGTTGCTTAAGGGTTGGGTCTTGTGTTGTCTGAATTCTGACCTTCCTGTCTTTGGGAGGCGTGAAAAGCCAGCCAGTTGACTTTGGTTTTTTTATAAACACATTACCCCTTCAGAATATTCAAGAGCAGGTTTTGGCTGAGAATCTGAGACTTCCACTAGATAGTTTAAGAGCCCGTGGTGACTTTGGGAGGCTTAAAAAGTTAAACATCTGTGATTTTCTTTAGAGGGTGATTAGATTAGAGACCAAAAAAAAAAAAAAAAAAATCCAAACTGATTGAAGCCAGTTTTTTTTGCCATAAAGTCATTTGTATCACGTTCCTACAACCACTTATAATTCAAAATGTAAGTATAGCATATGCTATGTGCCTGTAGCTTTTAATAAATGCATTAATAGTTTGCTTATTTTTAATCAACTCAAGAATTTATGTGTTCTTTCCTGGGATTCCATTTGCCCACAAAACATTCTGAACATATAGTCCGCTTCCCTGCAGAGGACAGAGAGTAAGACTGAGTGGTACAAGCCTGCTTTGTCCTCTGTGAACCCAAGCTTCTCATAGCTTCTAGCACTGTGGAAGATGCTCACCATGGAGAGGAGGAGCCTCATCCAGATTTCCACTATGGAGTACCATTTGTGTAGTAGAAGGGGCTCACATTGGTGATTGTGAGAAGGAGGGCAAGGCTGTGTGTGTATAGGTGTGAATCTGTGGTAGTTGCCAGGTAGGTTAGAGAGCCGTCAACTGATACAAGAGACTGTAAATGAGGGCTCTGTGAAACCACCGAACTGACCTCTTCCTGGGTAGAAAGGTTTATTGGGGAGCAGACTGCCCAGGCTATATCTGGGTTGGGAGCAGAGAGAAGAGCAAAATGATAAGCAGATTTTATATCACAGTAGCAGGGTGGGGTCTTTGAGTTGCTACTGGATGTTCAGTTGACTGGGAATTAGATGCCTTTGCCCCTTTGGGCTAATAAAGGAGGATCTGGTAAGCAGAAACCCTCCTTTAGGCCTCTGTTTACTCAATAAAATCCTTCTGTTTAGGACTTGTCACCAGCACTGCCATTTTGGGGTCCTGCTTTGGACTAAATGGAGTGTGACATATGGCGGGAGCCCCTTTTTTTATCCCCTTCATTTTTCTTCTATGTGTCAAAGAGGAAAGAAGAATACTCTTTTGAAGGTGAATGCTGGTAATCAAATTTACCAGCTCTCTGCTCCATTCAGATTAATTCTGCCACCCTGATCTCCAGATACCAAAATCCTCATAGTCCTGGCTGGATAACGTGGGGATTCATGGTGTTCTGTGCTGGGTTCTTCTCCTGTGAGACAGGGGCACAGATTTAGGATTATTGTTGGACTAAGAAAAGAGGTGACATGTAATTCTCATTGCCAAGTTTTCTCCTTTGGCTTGAGGCAGATTTCCTGGCAAGGGCATACTTGATCATGGGCTAAGCTAAACTCAAGAGTAGCCATTGGTCTTACTAGAATGGCCAGAAGTTGCACGTGTGCTTATTCCTAAGATACTAGCTCTCTGATTCATCTGCATTGGACCACATTAGGACCAACATCACAGCCTGCATAGATTGCAAATGAAGGACCTGAGACATTAATTACAATGGGCTAATTCTAAGAAATAAGATGTGTTCGCTTTTGTAGGTGTGAGATGGGAGTATGGTTCATATTTCTGGGTACCCGGTCATACGTCAGTGTAACCATGGTGTGGCATAAGCTCCAGTTACTCTGTTGCCTGGCGATGAGGCAGTTGTATGACAAAATTGAATTAGACAGTTAGCAAAGGGTGGTGTGTTTTGTAATCTTTATGGAATCTTTTAAGTTTCAATGGAGTTAATTAAGACAGCCATATCAAAGTGTAAGTGTTATGTCTAGATCATTGAACCTAAAGCTTATGCTAAGTAGAGCCAACTAAGCTGAGTAATAAGCCAAGCTTCTCATGATGGGCAAGCTCTGATTTCCAGAGTTTAGTATCAGCTCCGTGACTCAAGTTCCATTGGAAAGTCTGACGTTCTTGCTCCCATGCTTCCTTTGGGCAGTTGTATTTATGTCCCTGTGACCCTCCAGCTGCAGTCAGTAGTCACATGGCAGTATTCCATAGCCTAAGAGTCTGAGCACAGCGCCTCCTGAGATGCCTTTGAAATTTCTCGTAGACTTGTACAGTGTCCATTTATTCCAAAGGTTTGAGCTAGCCTCTCCTAGGCTGCCTTGTTTTGTTTTGGTGACCACATAATCCCATTAATTCTTGGTTCTTTGCTCACTTGTTTGGAATTTAAATCAAAATAAAATAGAACCAGTGGGCACATACAATTTGTTTATTAACTTAGCCATCTGGGTAGTAGGTTCAACCAGTTGAACAGTTTTCTTTTTTAATAAGCAAAGAGTTCATTTTTCAAGTTTACACAAACCTGTAAACATCTGTTAAGAAGACATACTATACTTATTAGTATTTTGAAATATGTTCGAAACATGAATTTTATACACTGGCAAAAACAGACTTAATGGATCAAGAAAACAAAGCAAATTCTCCCCTTTTCCCTCTGCCAAGCGATCCTCTCAACCTGGGCACCACATAGAACAGGCCCTTCGTAGAAATCAGCATCCTGGCATTAACTTGGTGTATTTCCTCTTAAACAGTGCCTCTACCTTCAGAGAGTGGTTAAATTGCAATAAATAACTTTATTTGTTTGAATTGGGAACAACCATGTTTAGGTTTGCCGTACTGTATCATTAGCAAAGCATGCTTGGATAGGGAGGGGTAAGAAACTTCTTGATCTACTGAGTCATTGCTCAGCGAAGATCAATCTCAGCATATGATGAAACTTTTTCTCCCCCTAGCAGGTTGGTTTGCAAGGAAAAGTAACGCACATACTGGATGGTGTGGTTAGGACATGGCTGTGATTTCAGCACTCTGAGGGAGGAGGAGGAGAGGCACATGTTTAAGGCCAAATCTGTTCTACATAGTGAGTTGTAGGCCAGCATGAGCTAAAGAGAAAGACCTTTATTGCAGCAGGCCGTTTGTTTTGAAAACTAAGACAAAACAAGAGTAAAATAGCATGCATGGAGCAGCAGCTTCATTAAGCAAAAAACTACCCTCTGGGGCCGAGGGTATCTTCTTCGATGAACATGAATGGAAATATTTTATTGGCTCCTTTATTTCTTTAATTACTTTTGCATACGTTCAAAATGATGTAGTGAAGAAAGGAGATCTAAAGAATAATGGCATGTGTCTATTCCCTACCCAGTTTTAGAAATTAAATGTCACTGTTTCCTGTTTGTATCCTCCTGCCTGTTCTGAGCGTTAACCCCAAGCCTGCTTTGTCTTTAATTTTCTGTCTTCTCAGATGGCCATGCACCTTCTATTGGCTGGTTGAGATTTTGTTGGCGTGTCGAAGCGGACACGCCTAATACGTGTCCAAAGGAAGGGAGAATGGCCGTAGAGGAGCTCTTCCTTTTGCTTCTTCAGTAAATAAATGTTTCATAAGCTGTGAAAGCCCCGTGCTAGGTGCTGTTTGAGATGAGTTATCAAGTATGTATGGGGGGGTCCTCTCTTCACTGAGCTTTAGTGTCTAGTAGGGGATTAAAGACCTGTGTGTGATGCGACTGATTAATTCAGAGTGGGGATGGGGATGAATACAAACCGTGATGAAGGCAGAGATGCTGAGCACGGGAAAGGCTTAATTGATGCACGGTGCATTATGATTCAACTGGTAGTCCAGCTAGGCTGCAGTGTCAAGAATAATACAAACCAGGTAGTTTATAAACAGCAGAGATAGATTGTTTTTCCGTACAGTTTTTTTGAGCTCGGGAAGGTAAAAAATAATCAGGGGGCTTGCAGATGTCTTATGTGAGGAGGGTTGCTTCCTCGCTCTTAGGTAGCCATGTTTTTGCTATGACCTCTTCCTGTCGAAAGAGGTCACAGGTTCCTTCTTTCCTAAATGACATGAGTCTCATCATGAGGGCTCTGCAGTCCCTGTTCCCTGATCACCTTCCAAAGGCCCCATCATCTAACACTATCACACTGGGGGTTGGGTTTTCACATAGAAATTGGAAGGGAGACTTAACATTCCAGCCAAAGCACCTGGCAGCGGAGCAGATGGCGGGGAGCAGGTAGAGGCTAGCGCTAGGGAGAATGATGAGAAAATGGTTTCCATAGTGAGGTGAGTAAATACAGACTCTAGAGCAGGGTTGGGAAAGAGGGATGGGTGAGAGGATTTTTGAGAGCTCAGGGGCCTGAGAAAGAGATGATGATCCTTAACCTGTGAGGTGACCACTGTGGGAGAAGAGACCCAGCCCTTTGATGCGACATGTTTTAGGGAGGCTGTCTCTTGGAGGTGACAGAAAAGCTAATAAGCAGAAGTATCCAGCTGAGAACTGAAACTCAAGAAAGAGCTCGGGTTAAACCAGGTATTCTTTGTCATAGAAGCAAAATGAAGCAAGTTAGACCAAGGGGAAGAATGGCTCTGTTCTGAGATGAGACTGCTGAGCAGCTTCAGGAGTTTGTTAAGATGCTGAACCAGGTAGAAGATGCAGCAGGGGGAGGGGCAGGAGAAGGCACGGGTTTTCTTTCTGTGTCTCTCCTGGCAGTTGCTACTTTCTGCCGTACAGGACAGAGTTTGCAAGGTCAATAAAAGAAGAGGTGTATCATCAAAAAATTCAACATAAATGCAGTTAATGGGGCCATTTGGGGAGAGTAGCAGAGGTGAATGAAGGAAGGAAGTTAAAGGTAATGAAGAAAGAATTGATGAGGATAGTTATCTTTTACTTTCAGGAATTTGA